TTTTATCACAGGTACCTTAATCCGAATAATGTGCGAATGTCCCTTTGAGAATTGGGCTTTTATCTCGTGAGAGGAGATCCATGCCAGCTGCCAATCTTTGAATATTTCATCAAATAATCTAATGAGTTAAGACTATCCTAGCCCAATCCTCTAAAGCGAAAGTTTTTAATTCTTCCCGCTTTCAAGTCTTTCCGTTGAGTTATTATCGTTTCCGAATCAGAGAATGGTACGGTTACCTTTCCAAAATATTAAACTGTTTGTAAAGTAATGGCAAATTTAAGCGATACGATTTATGAGTCAACTAATGAAGTCAGAATCAAGTCTGAATGGTAAAAATCTGTGTCTACAATTAGTTTATATATAAAAAGAAAGAACAGTAAGATATATAATCCGGTGTTCTTATAGATATTTTTATTTTTACAAAATAGTGCTCAATGTAAATTTTACAGAGCATTAATATTATAAATTAATTGATTTAAAAATGTTTTTTTTTTACACAATTCTAACCATGTTTCAAAAATGGAAAATAAAAGCCCCAATTTAATTTTGTGATTAAATTAAAGATTCCAAATATAAATATCCATTCGGACAGTTCCATTATATATATATATATATATATATATATATATATATATATATATATATATATATATATATATATATATATATCCATTTCATATATATATATCCATTTCATATATATATATCATTTCATATATATATATATATCCATTTCATATATAATATATATATATATATATATATATATATATATATATATATATATATATATGTTCAAAAAGTGTGATACAAAACCTTCATCACTATAATCAAATCATATGTTTGGTGTTTATGTCGGTTCCTAGGAACTGAGCAGCTTGGCCCTCATATGTCGAATACATATATATATATATATATATATATATATATATATATATATATTCGTGTATATTTAGGCAGCATCTTTTTGTTCATTCATATACGTTTCATTAAATAATATAGACAAGTGTTGTCTATTTATTTTATAAAATTCTTTTCATAACGTCTGATAAGCTTAATAAAATTATCATTAGACGAAGAAAGAAATTCACAATATTGATCCATATTTTTTAATACAATCTAAGTTTTCCGCTTATAAGCCATTATCAAAGATGTCAGTTACACCATATTAAGCAATATACGGACCAGACAGTGATGATAGTCTGTCATTGATTATATATATATATATATATATATATATATATATATATATATATATATATATATAGGTGCGATGAATAAATTGTCGTCTAAATGATGCAAAAATGAAACTAACACTGACATCACATTTTAACAGATATATTTACCAAAATTATGCGAAAATATATATTGAAATAGTAAAGCCATATATTCCATAAAAATCACCATTGGCTTCAACCACGGCCTCTGGACGACTTTGGAATCTCCAGCAACTCTTCCGGATTGTCTCCTTGTTGGTGAATGCTGCCATAATCCTTGCCTTCAGTTCATCTTTGGGGTTACAAGGTGTTTTTTTGTTGGTCTCTCGCTCAACTGCACCCCACACATAATAATCAAGGGAGTTGCGCGCGCGCGCACACTCACACACACATACACACACAAAACACACATATATACTTGTTATATTTATGGTAATTGTGCCTAATTCAGGGATAGGGCGTATGTAAATCTAAAAGTAGACACCGAGTGGCGACAGTCTGATTAATACTTGACCTCAGTATCTACTTACACACACATGCACGCACGCACACACACACACACACATACACACGTATATATATATATATATATATATATATATATATATATATATATATATATACCTTTTGTGTAGATAAATTTTACTGCTTCCAAGTTACGAATAATCCTTCTCAAGCAAGGAGGAAATTCCGCCAGAAATTGTCCGAATTTCATTTCGGAAGCAAAAAAAAAAAAAAAAAAAAAACACACATAAACACACACACACACACACACACACACAAAATAACACAAACCGTCTTATATAGTATTATACATAACACAACCACGCTCTCACGGTAACTCAGCCTCCATGTTTTGGACAACAGGGCCATCAGCCAACACATTAATAAGCAGCATATGAATTATACTAACACTATACCTTTACTCATTATCAAGGATGATTCGATTTTTCAGCTTAATTGAGTGTGTGCGTTCTGTGTATGTCTTAGTGTGTGGTAGGGATGTTTTTAATTTCCGAATACGGTTAGCACATTGTGGCTTTGTTCGTAGTTAATATTGTTAAGAGTTGGCCTTTTCTTTTTTATTATTAAAGCTTCCATTATTTTTAATCTTTTTTGCAGGTGGATGCAGTTAATATATTTGTTTTTTCTACTAGTATGTGTCTAATGGAGTCTGGTAAATTTGTGTGTCTTTAAATGGGTTCTAATGGAGCTGCGATCAGATAGGTGTAACGTAAGACGTCTGGATAAGTTCTTACACACGCTTTGTCCAGAAAAGAAAGCTCTTGTTCGAACACAAGAAAAATTAAATAAAAAGCTTAACCATAGTAACTTTTCTGTCATTTTTAATGAAACTTGCATAAACGAAGGATTGCTGCCTAAATATTCAACTACCATACATATACAGGCTGTTTCAAAAATTTCATATCATTTCGCAATCTAATAACTTTGTTAGATCTCCTTCAAATGACTTCAAATTTTAATAGCATCTTTATGTTTAATGTTTGTTTTATGTTTTTATGTCTTTATGTTTTTGTGTTTTTCTTATTTGTATTTTTTATGTTTTTTAATCTTTAATCTTTTTTTCTTTACAGGTATAAAAAATGCTATTTACTAGAAGAGAAAAGGCGTTTTGTGTTTGGAGTTTGCTCGAACACAGTCAAACAAGACTGTGCAGCGTGCATTTATGAGAGAGTTCTCTAGAAAATCACCAACAGGAATGCAGATTTGGAGATGGCATAAAAGTTCAAAGAGGAAGGCTGTCTGTGCAGAGCAAAAGGATCCGGACGACCACAAACTTCACATTTGTGAAATCGTTCACATAATCCACATGCTTTTGAATTTCTCATTCAGATTTGGAAGAATAAATCTTATGATCTTCAACATTAATACTTTTTAATTTCATTTGCCTTAATCATGTACTTTCTGTGATATTTACATCTCAAAGGATATCAAATTTTTTGAAACACCCTGCATATATATATATATATATATATATATATATATTTAAATTCATGCAGATAACGTACTAAGGAGAACAGTTTCTCATAAAAATTGCCATGAAAATATTTGTAGAAAACATCACTTCGGTGGGAAAGTGACTGAAGTCAAGACGCTACGCCTGGACCAATTATAAGAAAATTAATTAAAATGTGTAAAAAAAAAATGTTTGACATGTTTCCTCCTTTAGGATTTCATTGGACGAAAATGATGTTTACATTGATGCAACTGCACATGCGCACGAAGAACAACGGACGCTGAAAATTTTAACTCTTATATTTAATTGCTTTTTTTTTTTTTAAATATGTGTTTGGATATATAGTCTAGCCAATTTTATTTAGTTTCTTTTTGTTCATATTTTATCATTTTTGTTAGTAAGTATCCCACATAGTGATAATAGAAAATATGGTGGATAAAAAATTTATGTTTCATTCTAATATGGCGTAAACGTTGTGTCGTTTACACCGAAAAATACATTAATTCTTTTGTTGTGAAACGTTATTTTTTTAAAAAATTTTATTTGTAAATGAGTCGTATTTTCTCCTCCAAATTTAGACTCAAGTTGATAGTAAAACACAAATGACCGGAAATAAAATTTATCTGGTGATAGAAAATAAGCGTAAACGTTTGCCACCTTCAGAAACACAACGGCTACTTTAAGGCTCTCTGGTCTGTTTGCCTGTGAACGTTCATCATTAGACAGTGACTATGATGTCAATAGAAAGATAGCAATAATCGATTTTTCCCATCATGTGAACTGTAGTAGCTGAGGGGAAGAAACAACTTTACTGTAACTTGACTCCATTCGTAACTAATTTCAGATGCAGCTTTTATGACATTTAGTTAGCCTCTTCTTTGTCGTTTGAACGTTGACAAAAGAAGCAGACACTTCTGTTTGCCATTGCCAAGTCAAGCGACCTTTATTTCTTGTCGGTACACGCAAAGCCACGCATCAAGTTCCATTCACCAATGTGTGATTCGATCATATAATCACGTTCAATCATATTTTCTTTGATCAGCTCATATTTAGAGGAGCACCATTGAGCTAGTTATCTTTTTTGTAAGTCACCGTAACACAAATTTAATTTTGGAGATCCAATCTCATTTTGTAAGGCATTGGAGATCCAACCTCATTTTGTAAGGCATTGGAGATACAATCATATTTTGGAGGCGCTGGAGATCCATTCATTGATTGAGTGATTTGATTTTACGGTTTATCAACCTTTAGCAAGTTATTTAAAGGCAGATAATATTTTTAGATTGTAAGAATTTTTGGAGGTAAATAATGATTTTACTGATACAAGTACTAGTAATTAAAAATTGCCGATGATAATAATTTTACTGATACGAGACCTACTAATTAAAAATTGAAGGCAGGTTGGCAGGTTATTTAAAGCCAGAAAATATTATCAGGTTGCAATAATTTTTGGTGAGATAAACAGTCATTTCACTGATACAAGTCCTACTAACTAAAAACTGAAAGTTCATTGGGGACAATCGATTGATTGATTCGATTTTACTGGTTATCAAACTTTACCATGTTATTTAAAGACAGAAAAATATTTTTATATTAAAAGAATTTAGGTGGGGGGGAGATAATAATGATTTTATTGATACTAGTTCTACTAATTAACCCATAGGTATGGGGAGAAGAGGCGGAGTCATACCTTTTCTAATGGTATTTGCGCGTAAGTGAAAATAACGAACCCCACCGGAATTGGAACACTGCTCTCCCACTTACAATCCCCGGCTGTTATCTATTACACTACTTGCACATCCAAGCTTACAACACCTGGTATTCCCAAGCGGACACCCATCTATGTACTGATCAGGCTCGATGTTGCTTAACTTTGGTGATCGTACGGGAACAAGTGTTTCACCGTGATGGGGCCGAAAGCCCTTTATATCACTGGCACATCCAAGCTTACAAGACCTAGTATTTCTAGGCAGACACCCATCTAAGTACAGACCAGGGCAGACGTTGCTTAACTTCGGCGATCGTACGGGAAAAATATTTCAAATGTATGTAGCTGTAAGCCCTTTCTATCACCTATCATTGTCGATCCAGTCACCTTTTGTAGGCCGCTGTGAAACTAGAATCTTTTTTGTTCGGACTGTGGATCAAATTTCGTATTTGTAGGGTACTGTATATCCAATCACATTGTTATCCAGTTACCATGTAGGGCAATGGTGATTCAGACACATTTTATCCAAAATTAATCAGTAACTTTAAGAAAACCTAGATCAACTTACATTTTGAAGGGTACTGGACTTCCATTTATGCGTATATTAACATGTGGATAATCAAGTAGCAAAAGGACTTTTTTTTATTTTTCTTTTCTGACGTTACAGAATTTCAAAACCTCAATAGTAATCAGTAAAGTAAGACTTTTATGATGACTTCCTACATTTGTTTCATGTTTAAGGAATCATCACTGTATTAAAGAGATAGAATACATACACATTTTTAACATTCGGGAGTAAAAGCTTTTCAGTAAATACCTTTAACAATCAAAAGCAAAGCTAACTTGCAAGAAAAAGTCAATGAAGTATCAAAAGTAAAGTTAACATTCCAGGTAATGACTTTGAAACGTCAAGAAGTAAACATTCCAGATAATGTCTTTGAAACATCAACAGAAAAGTTAACATTCCAGATAATGTCGTTGAAACATCAACAGAAAAGTTAACATTCCAGATAATGTCTTTGAACTGCCAAGAAGTAAACATTCCAGATAATGTCTTTGAAACATCAAGAGTAAAGTTAACATTCCAGATAATGTCTTTGAACCGTCAAGAAGTAAACGTTCCAGATAATGTCTTTGAACGATCAAGAGTAAAGTTAAAATTCCAGATAATGTCTTTGAATGATCAAGAGTAAAATTAACATTCCAGATAATGTATTTGAACCATCAACAGTAAACATTCCAGATAATGTCTTTGAAACATCAAGAGTAAAGTTAACATTCCAGGTAATGTCTATGAACTGCCATAGGTAAACATTCCAGATAATGTCTTTGAATGATCAAGAGTAAAATTAACATTCCAGATAATGTATTTGAACCATCAACAGTAAACATTCCAGATAATGTTTTTAAACCATCAACAGTAAAGTTAACATTCCAGATAATGTATTTGAACCATCAAGAGTAAACATTCCAGATAATGTTTTTGAACCTTCAACAGTAAAGTTAACATTCCAGATAATGTATTTGAACCATCAAGAGTAAACATTCCAGATAATGTTTTTGAACCTTCAACAGTAAAGTTAACATTCCAGATAATGTATTTGAACCATCAACAGTAAAGATTCCAGATAATGTTTTTGAACCATCAATAGTAAAGTTAACATTCCAGATAATGTATTTGAACCATCAACAGTAAACATTCCAGATAATGTTTTTGAACCATCAACAGTAAAGTTAACATTCCAGATAATGTATTTGAACCATCAACAGTAAAGATTCCAGATAATGTTTTTGAACCATCAATAGTAAAGTTAACATTCCAAATAATGTATTTGAACCATTAACAGTAAACATTCCAGATAATGTTTTTGAACCATCAACAGTAAAGTTAACATTCCAGATAATGTCTTTGAACTGCCAAGAAGTAAACATTCCAGATAATGTATTGGAACCATTAACTAAAAAAACATGTTTCCTGAAAATCTTTGGACCATAAACATTTAAGCCAGCTTGAATAAGTTTAGGAAGGAAGCAGGAATCTGACTGTGACGAAATTTTAAGCACTTGATTTGCAATAGGTTACTTATTATTTTAGTTTTATAGATAATATTTTGGGGATTTAGACAATGTGGTTGGATTAGTTCATTATTAATAAGGAGGGTGTTGGTGTTTATTATTTGGAGGATTAGTGATTATATAGCTTTAAGATGTTTCTGCCAGTATTAAATGCTATTTTATTCATTTCAAGTCAAAACATACTGCCATGATGACGGCTGACGATAACCGAAAGCGCTTGGCAAAACACTAGAGGCTTTTTTCAACAACTTAGAACCAAATATAAAAAGAACTTGCGAGAAAGCAAAAAAAAAAAAACAACAAAAAAAAAGAAAACAAAAGAAAAAACCCAGAAAATAAACATTATTAAACAGAAAAATACCGTAGTTGTTGACAACACATGCCTTAATAATGACATTTGCTGTCCTGCTATTTACCCATAGTTGGATATATATATATATATATATATATATATATATATATATATATATATATATATATATATATATATATATATATATATTGATTGATTGTTATGTGTGGAGCGCAGTTGAACGAGAGACCAACAAAACTCCTTGTAACACAAAAGATGAACTGAAGGCAAGAATTATGGCAGCATTCATCAACTTAAACAAGGAGACCATCCAGAAGATTCCAGGAGATTCCGAAGTCGTCTGTTGGCCGTGGTTCAGGCCAGTGGCGATTTTATTGAATAAATTTACTCTTTCGTATTTCAATATATTTTTGTGTCATTTTTTGGTAAATATATCTGTTAAAATGTTATTTTTTTATTTTTATTTTTATTTATTTATTTTTATTTTTTTTTTTTTATTTTTTTTTTTTTTTTTTTGCTTCATTTAAACGACAATTTATCCATCGCACCCCGTATTACCTGTTAAAATGAGATGTCAGTGTTATTTTCATTTTGGCGTGATGTAAACGACAGTTTATTTATCGCAGCCTGTATATACACACATGAAATTACCCAACCGTCACATCTAAATGGAAAAATGAGTTCCTCTAACGAAGCATCGGGCCATAAAGTCTCGTTGAAATTTTGTCTTTTCCGGTTGTTTTTTTTCAAAAGGAAAAATAGATATATTTCATGCTGACAACTTCTTTTTTTTTTTTTTTGCTGTTGCTGAGAAGAAAGTTTATACATAATAGAAATAATGTTTTAATGTCAAACTGAAGAATATGTCTTTGGGATTGGCTTCTGTCTCTCCATTTTTTTTAAACTGTCCCCCTCTCTGTTTCTTTGCATTTCTATTTGTCGTCTGCCCTCTTTCGTTTTTTTTTCTTTTTTTTCCTTTTTTCCGATGGTCCGTTCTCTCTTTTGACTTTTCTTTCATTCTTCTGTCATCCTCCCATTGTACAATTTTTTTTTTTTACTTTTTCTTTTTTCTTTCGGTCGGCTCGTTCTCCGGTCTTTTTCAGGTATAAAAAAAAGCCAACTTGTCAGTTGACTGTTTACAAGCACGTCTAGTTGCTATAAAAAAGGATTTTATAAGAAACTTGAGCCATGAGAAACGTTGAAAACTTACATGTAAAGAAAGAAATAAAGAAAAGAAAGAAAGAAATTAGAAAAGAAAGAGCGTGAAAAAGAAGAAGTAAAGAGAGAGAGAGAGAGAGAGAGAGAGAGAGAGAGAGTTATAATTAAAGAAACAAAGAAATGAAAGCTAGGAAGAAAGAAAAATGAAGAGAAAATGAGAACGAAAGAGAAAGAAAGAAAAAAAAGAAAGTGATAGCGAGGGGGAAAGAAAGAAAGAAAGAAAGAAAGAAAGAAAGAAAGAAAGAAAGAAAGAAAAAGAAAGAAAAAGAGAAGAAAGAAAGAGAGAATGAGAGAGAAGGAATAAAGAAAGAGATAGTGAGAGAGAAGTAAAAAGAAAGTGAGAGGGGGAGAAATAAATAAATAATGACAAGAAATGAGATCGAGAAAGAAAGAAAATGAGAGCGAAGTAAAAAGTGGGAGTGAGAAAGAAAGAAAGAAAGAACGAAAGAAAGAAAGAAAGAAAAAGGGTGCGAAAGAGAGAGAGAGAGAGAGAGAGAAGAAATAAAGGAAGAGAGAGCGAGAGAGGAGGAAGAAGTAAAGTGAGAGGGTGAGAAATAAATAAAGACAGAAAATGAGAACGAAGTAAGAAAGTGGAAGTGAGTGAGAGAAACAGAGAAGAAAGAAAGAAAGAAAGAAAGAAAGAAAGAAAGAAAGAAAGAAAGAAAGTGACAGTAGTTAGGGTATCAAAGATAGAGCAGATGCAATTAGAGGGAGTGGTTTGGGTCGTCTCCTTTGGGCAGCCTTAAGTGTGGCGGCGTGTGGTGTCTTCTGCCATGACGCCTTCCCACCCTCCTGCTCACACCTCTGCCTCCTTCACTGGCTGCTTATTAATCACCCTCTCGTGGCCGCCAATTCAATGACAACATCCTCTCACCCCGCCTCCATACGCACGCATACACACAAAGTGTGTATCCACAGCTAAACACACGCTCCCATAGAATAATAATAAAAAAATCACCATATGCGCACACATGTATGTGTGTGAATGTGACGACAATTTCTGCTTTTGTTTTCATTTACAAAATCTCCTTAGAAACGACATTATTCCGAACACTAAATATTAAATTTGATTTTATAAAGAAAATAGAATGATCAAAATTTTAATTGGGTTTTATATTATTTTGTATGGCACTAGAAAGATTCAATAATATTTTGCAGGGCAGCAGATATTGACTAACATTTAGAAGAGGCCTATAGACCTTCTGTAAGGCGGTGTAGAGATCAAATTTCATTTTGTCGGGTACTGAAAGCCCCAATTATATTTTGTAGATCAAAAGCTTAGCATTGTCGATTAGGTCACACTTTGAAGAGTCCTATATACTTTTGTAAGGCCGTGTTGATCCAATTTGGGTACTGTTGGGTACTGAAAGTTCCAATTTTATTTTGTAGATCAAAATATTATAGATCAGTTCACATTTTGAGGAGGTCGGAAAGCGATGTAAATCAAATTTCATTGTGTCAGGTACTGAAAGTTCCAATTTTATTTTGTAGATCAAAATATTGTAAATCAGGTCACATTTTGAAGGTCAAAATTTTATCATTGCAGATCAGGTCACATTTTGAAAAGGCTTCTACTTACCTTAAGGCATTTCTTTGTTGTTTTTTTTTTTTTTTTTTTTCAAATAAAGCATATACCCGAATCCATCCGTCAAATTTATAAATCAACCATTCGCCCTTACATGGAATATTGCTGTCATATATGGTCTGGAGCCTCCGATGTTCGTCTTAGGGTCCTCGACAAAATCCAGAGACGGATATGTAATGTGGTTGGCCCTGGTCTGGTATCTCTCTCACAGACGTGCCGTCGCCTCCGTCTGTCTTTTCTACAAATCCACTGTCAATGCTCTGAGAGCTATTTACGCTAGTTCCCAAACTGCCTGAATTTAAACGTGCCACTAGGTTGGCATCTCAGTCCCACCCTTTCACTGTTAAATGTAACCATCTCTTCTACTCCAATAGCTTTATGTCTCGCACTTCCCATCTGTGGAACTCCCTTCCTCTTACTTGCTTCGCTGATAGCTATAATCTCCAACTATTCAAATGTAATGTCGATCGACATCTCCAGATGCCTTGATCTGTTCGCCTTCCTTCTCTTCATCTTTTCTTCTTTCACGCCTCTTTACTCTTGCTTCCACTCTCTGTAACCCCTTGCATGCTGGTGACACTCCCGCCTTGCTTGGGGTGAAAAGCTTAAAAAAAGACTTAAGGTCGACTCCCATTTTATAAGATATTGTAGATCACTTTTGTAAGGCACTGTATAGCCAATCTCTTTTTCTAAATTAATTATATATAAATTAGAGAGATGAGCGTAAGTGTTGTAAGGTGTAAATTAGAATGACACACATATGTGATTATGTAGAGAGGCTAGCGCTTGCGTACAGATGTGTAAATTTGAGAGTTTAGCACGCGCATATGTGTAAACGCCGATTTGTCAGTCAGTTTAGTGCCATAAGTGATACACGTTTTGGTAATCATGTCTCTTTCGATTCATGACTGACTAGGCAGAAGATTTTCCCGCAGTAAGTTGCCGTATCTTCCTTCGGTAGATTGGTTGACAACCAAGGCTATAGGATCTAGGTGATCCTGCTATTTAACCCATATTTGGAGGGAGGATAAATGGATACATACCTTTCTTAAAGGTATTTGCGAATGCACTGATACCGTTATATACACGTACGAAAAGCTGTACAAATCCACCTTCAAACAAGCAATAATATAGGTTCGCCTATCACCCGGTTCACACTCCTCCCTGGTCTTTTGAACAGGAGCAGAAGTTTATCCCATGTTCCCTAGTTAGGCTTGGGTTTCTGGTTCCTTGTAAAGTCTACTTCAACTTTATCCTTCTAACATTCCCACCTAAACAATGAAACAATTTACTATTTATTTATTTATTTCTTCTTCTTCACAGTCCACTTGTTTCTTCTTCTTCTTCTTCTTCTTCTTCTTCTTCTTCTTCTTCTTCTTCTTCTTCAGTCTACTTGTTTCTTCTTCTTCTTCGTCACAGTCCACTTGTTTCTTCTTCTTCTTCTTCTTCTTCTTCTTCTTCTTCACAGTCCACTTATTTCTTCTTCTTCTTCTTCTTCACAGTCCACTTATTTCTTCTTCTTCTTCACAGTCCACTTATTTCTTCTTCTTCTTCTTCTTCTTCTTCACAGTCCACTTATTTCTTCTTCTTCTTCTTCTTCACAGTCCACTTATTTCTTCTTCTTTTTCTTCTTCTTCTTCGTCTTCTTCTTCTTCTTCTTCTTCTTCTTCTCAATAGGAGTGAATAGGTTTGCATAACGACCGGTTCACTCACCTCGAACTTTTGAACAGGAGTAGATTTTGATTCCTTGTTCCCTGTTTAGGCTTGGGTTTCCGGTTCCTTCTAAAGTCTACTTTTCACTTTTTCCTCTTCTTCATCTCAATAGGAGTTGGTAGGTTTGTCTGTCGCCCGGTTCACACTCTTCCCCGGTCTTTTGAACCTGAGCAAAGATTTATCCCTTGTTTCCTGTTCAGGATTGGGTTTCTGGTTCCTTCTAAAGTCGACTTCAACGCTATATTTCTAACGTAAGTTTCATTCTAGCAGTTTCTTCTCTCGCACTTCTCGCTTGTGGAATTCGCTTCCGGCTTCTTGAAAAGAAGCCGGAAGCGAATTCTTAGAAGGCTAAGATCTTAGTTTGATCTTAGTCTTCTTAATATTGGCCTTTATTTACATTCGCTCCTTAATAATGTTTTTCTTGTTTGTATATTGTTTCATACTGAGTAACCCCTACGTCTAAGTGGCTTTGTTGCTTTGGTGATAAAATGATTAAAAATCAGTAACTGACAAAAAACTGCTTATCCTACAAGGATAAGCAGTTTTTTCTTCTCTTTTTAAAAATTCTTTGTACGGACGTAATTGTAATGGTCACTACAGAGAAATACAGGACCCGGCAGAAATACCTCCTGCATAGACCTGTAAGAAATATCTCTATATAATTGTGTGGCATGAGCTTGATAAAGACCTACTTGCTACTAATGCATTACAATTACGTAGTGGGGGTTTATATGTGGGGGGTATTTCTGGAATATTCGTTTAAATACAAATGGCCTCGTCTTATTTTGCGTGAGTCTATTTTCACCGCCAAATTGTTGCATTTTCGTATAGACATACGTTCAAGAATATGAACACATTTTATATATAAGACATGAACCACTGGAATATGTGTTTGCTTACAATTTCATTTCTCCGAGGGTCACTTCAATTTCGTGGCAAGCTTGTGGCGTTTTGTCGAAACAGGTTCGTACATTTACGGCGCAAATTTTGTTTCTCAAAAAATAATTTAAACTTAGGATATTCTTCTTATTATTAGTCATTGTATTATACACAAGAGATATTTTTTCAAGAAATTTGTAGCCAAAATTTAGAAATGTGTATTTTACAAAAGTGCAGAATATACACGAATAATTATGGCAATATATATATATATATATATATATATATATATATATATATATATATATAAAAACAACTAAAAATCTATAAAATCTTTGGAAAAAATATATGGGACAACAGGAGCCGCGGAATACCTGCTCGTAGGAATCAATATTTAATCGATTAAGACGGGTTTTAGTTAATAGCCCAACGAATACTTATATTGATGTTTGTCGGAGTTACCTTCATACTTTTAAAATTACTTGAACGGCACTGTTATTAGGACCCTAGAATATATCGACCCCGTCCTCGACAGAGGAGTATGATCACCACAACAAAAATATGCTATTTACAAAGTGTATACATGCGAACTGGGATATGGATGACCAATACTGATATAAACTCAAGTATTAAATCGCCCAATCTTTATCTATAGACTCAAGTATAAACTCCACCAATCTTTATCAATTGTCTCAAGTATAAACTCGACCAATCTATCTATAGACTCAAGTATAAACTCGACCAATCTTTATCTGTAGACTCAAGTATAAACTCGACCAATCTTTATCTATAGACTCAAGTATAAACTCGACCAATCTTTACCTAGAAACTCAAATATAAACTCGATTAATCTATCTATAGACTCAAGTATAAAATCGACCAATCTGTATCTATACACACAAGTATAAACTCGACCAATCTTTATCTATAGACTCAAGTATAAACACGACCAATCTTTATCTATAGACTCAAGTATAAACTCGACCAATCCTTACGTAAACACTCAAGTATAAACACGACCAATCTTTACCTAGAAACTCAAATATAAACTTGACTAATCTATCTATAGACTCAAGTATAAACTCGACCAATCTTTATCTGTAGACTCAAGTATAAACTCGACCAATCTTTACCTAGAAACTCAAATATAAACTCGATTAATCTATCTATAGACTCAAGTATAAAATCGACCAATCTGTATCTATACACACAAGTATAAACTCGACCAATCTTTATCTATAGACTCAAGTATAAACACGACCAATCTTTATCTATAGACTCAAGTATAAACTCGACCAATCCTTACGTAAACACTCAAGTATAAACACGACCAATCTTTACCTAGAAACTCAAATATAAACTTGACTAATCTATCTATAGACTCAAGTATAAAATCGACCAATCTGTATCTATAGACACAAGTATAAACTCGATCAATCTTTATCTACAGACTCAAGTATAAACTCGACCAATCTTTATCTATAGACTCAAGTATAAACTTGACCAATCCTTACCTAAAGACTCAAGTATAAACACGACCAATCTTTACCTAGAAACTCAAGTATAAACTCGACCAATCTATCTATAGACTCAAGTATAAAATCGACCAATCTTTATCTATAGACTCAAGTATAATCTTTATGTACAGAATAAAGTATGAACTCGGGACGTTGGGACAAACCTTTGAGC